CAAATAAAAATCTTTCAAATGCGACTGTAGCTTTTTTTTCCCCCAAAACTTTGTCTTCAAAATAAGGGTGCATCTTATACATCGGTGCGTTTTATATTCCGAAAAATACGGTAATAGAAGTAATGCAATAAAGTTTAGATTTTCAACTATGCAAGTAGATAATTTTAATTTTTTCGTTTCATTTTTAGATAATGTAATACATTTTATTTACAAAATTATGAATACTGTATTGAAAATATACTTATATTTATATTCTATAATCTTTTTTTTGTGCTTAGGTCACGTAGAAATTGTAACCTTTTTGTTGAGAGTGTTCCGTGAGATTATTATGGTGGACCAAAGAAATGTGTTTGGCGTCACTGCCCTAATGAAGGCGTCATTGCAGGGTAGAGGGCGCTGTGTGAAAGTGCTTCTTGCTTCAGGTAAATTAGGCTAATTGACTATTTAAAACATATTTGGTAAAACTGATTGTCGATCACAACTCATCAAAACTGATTTAGTTTAATATACTTAGAGCCTATATGGTATTATTGAAAAGTATAAAGCAGTGTTAAGTTGGTGAATTACAGATAACTGTAAATAAAACACATACTTATACAACGAACTACTATAGTTAACTGTCTCTGAGGTATGGGTAGTTTTGTTACATATACAGGGTTATTATTAAGTTCTTTGGCCAATTCTGACATGTATAATTCGAAACCTAATCAACAGAGAGCTGTAAGATTTGGTAGGTGAACTAATAATAATATGAGATAGACGAATTTAATGCCAAAACTAATTATCACTTAATTCGCACAGCTTACATGTTACCATTTTATTAGCGTAACCCCTATTCATATCCAGTCTTGTTTCCATCCGCGAGAGAACGTAATACACATCTGAATGATACTTTCCGACTTAAACATTAGCATTATATTTGATGTTGGATGTGGCGTATAGGAGACTAAATCCTTAGTTTAATATAGTATTTATCGGAATTAATTAGTTATTCTGTTATGTGCACTTTGCATACAACACGTCGTCAAGAAAGTCATTAAATCGCTTTCGTTCTAGCTGTCTTTGTTATGGTCTTGAGGTAACATTTTGTTTGCCTGTAAGAGATATGGTTTTAATGCTGCATATTGTACAAGTATGTCAACAGCAGTGTCCTCCAATGGTATTTTAGGCTATAACCTCCCTTATGTTTGAATGAAAATAATAAATCACATGGGTTGTGGTAGTCGCTTTGAGTAAATATGATGTTAAATAATAAGCAAGGAAAGTTAGATTTAAACATCCTGGTGTACAATCTCGAAGTAGACGATCCAGTCCTTTGTGAGCCAGTGAAGTATACACATTTTGTTTTGTTATAACGGTTTTTCATTTGTATTTTACATTGCGTCAAGTCTCTTTATTTCTTGTTTAATTTTCTGTTATTCAGAGGACCTATCCCATCACTCAAAGAAAAATCAGTTTGACCTGAATTCACCACAGAGTGGCTACAAAAGAGAAAATGTTGGTGTCTTGACCACAGGATATTCAGTTGCAGAGTTTTCTGTTTCCTTCTGATGCTTGTATTGCCCTTTACTCCTACTCTTATGTTATTAAGTTTTAAAATGATTCGTTTTTATGTAAATGTCATTTTCCACAACTCATATGACTTAAATACACGAGGAAAAGTCAGGCATTGAACAGAGACATTTATTTGAGAGGGTTTGAGGGACTAGGAGAAGTTCTTTCCTGGACATTAGGCTTTCACTGATGCTGCACAGGTCCATGATTTCCATCTCATTGTAGGAAACGATTCATGAAATAGAACCACTAACGTTTGGTGCACTCAGAACAACTGTCAATGCTCTCTCTCTGAGGGTCGACCTCTGTGAGAGGAAAGCATAAATGTCTTAGGTTTATTGTAGTGATGTGACACCTGACAGGTCTGAGACTGAGTGGGTGGTCTATATAAGACTCTCATACCCTCACCAGCGAGAATAACCTAGCCAGTGAGGAGAACTGGAGATGCTGCTGGTGGAAGTCTTCTGCCAACAGGAACTATCTCACCACTACCAGATAAGATGGTGGGCACTGAATGAAGATGTATGTGAACCATGGAATTTGGTGAGCCTTTTCAAGTTGAAAGGTATATTACAGGGGCACCCATGGATCATGCAGGATCCAAGGATCACACATAGCCGACAGACAAGCTACCAATGACAACTCATTGCTTTGCTGCTCTGAGCCCAGGGATGTACTACTCACATGACAGTTGATGTCTCTGAGCATTCCTACCATGTTGTACCTTTGATTTCAAAGACATTTCAAGAGGTCAGAAGGGAAATGATTTGGTCCGAACCATGGGTTCCCATGAGCAAGACAAATCAGATCACTCCCTCACTATTCAAGGGTGCAGGGAAAAACGTTTTGACCCTTTCTTGAAACGTATCATGCAGGTAACTGCTTGAAGCAGCTCTCCTACAAAGCAGGCTGTGCAACACCCGATCTTCAGTCTAGATGGCCTGGCTTTAAGCTCCATCTAGTACTTGAGCAAGATGCAACTTTGAGACTATGGGACAGTCATTGCTCAGTTGTGCCAAAGGTTTGACCAGGTGGAAAATTGAGAAATTCATGGAGCTGTGTGCTAGGCTCAGAAAACAGGTACTATGGAAAGCTTGGCCACTTAAGTGTATTATCTGCACGACTTGCACAGTAAAGCCTGCTCTGCAACAGTATCAGCATATCACAAGGATATCCCCACTGACAAGTTTGTAAAATCATAAGGCAACACCTTAGTGTGAGAGATAATCTCATCCTTACCAATGCAGTTTCTGTAGTAATATGGTATGAGTGGCAACTTTGAGCCAGTCACAAGAGAGGAAGAAGTCTGCAGTGGTAGTTTCAGTGGCTGTACCTTGGACAGACACCCATGCACCAATGTAATACCAACCTATAGCCTATGCTGAAGTGCAGTGCATGTTAAAGGACAGGATCATACAGCCTAAAGAGATTGCTTAGTCATCTCTAGTGGTATTTGTTAGAAAGAAGGAAAGAATGGCGAGATTTAGATGGGTGAATATGGTAAATCAAATTGATGCCTTTCCACTACTATGAACAGATGAATGTCTAGCCACATTGGAAAGGGCCTGATGGTTCAATGCAGTAGAACTGGCATTCTGATATCAGCAAGTCGATCTGGCTGATGAAAGTAAACCTGAGACTGCTTTCAGCATATGAGATAGTTTGCATGACTTTTGATTCATGCCAATCGGCCTGTGTAATATGTTCACCAATTATTAGAGACTAGTGGAACTTACATTGGAGGGTCTGCAATAGGAGAAGTACCTGATCTATGTTGGTGGCGTCTTAATGTTGCACATTTGAGTTTCTGGTCGAGAATCTGGAAATGATATTCCAATGGGTAAACAAGACAGGCCTGAAATTGAAACCAAGAAAATGTACATTTGTGTACACAGAACTGGAATTTCTCAGTCATATTATGGGTCATATTGAGATGTAATCTTCATGGATCCTGCTAAAATATTAGCGGTACTAGATTGGTCTCAACCTGTGACTAAGGAATAATTCCACAATTTCTTAGGTTTTTACATCGTCATACAGACAGTTTGCTCATGGATATAGATACTTATAACAAAGACACAGGCAACATATGTCTGATAAAGCAATTACTGCAACAGCTTCTTTGGAGCATTAAGGTGATCACGAGTGCTGAAATACAATGGATGCTGCAAGACAGAGTTATAAAACATTTGGAGAATGTTCAGTCGTCTCTAGTGATTTTCAGGAAACAAGTAGGTACACCAGAATTGTGTGTTGATTTTAGATGAAAGAACGGGGTATCTCAAATTGATTCCCTTCTCTTGACATAGACAAATGAATGTTTGGATGCATTAAAATGCTTCCATTGGTTCTAATATCTTGATACTAACAGGTCAAGCTAGGACTGATTTTTTCACAAGAAATGGTATATGTGAATTTTGTATTATACCATTCAGTCTATGTAATGCACCAGCTACTTTTGAGTGGCTGGTGGAACTTGCACTTCAGGGATTGCAGCAATAGGATAGCTGACTGATCTATGTCAACGATATTTTGTGGTTTGGCCACTCTTTTAATTCTGTATTTGAGCATCTGAAGATGTTATTCCAGTGCATACAAAAAAGCAGGATTGAAACTCAAACCAGCAAAATGTTTCTTCATGAAAATGAAGATAGAATATCTTGGTTGCATTTTGAGGAGAGATGGAGTCTCGATGGGCCTGGCTAATACTGAAAGAATGTTTCAATTTTGGCATTGAGATGTTCTGCAAGTGGTGAATATTTTGTGGAAAAGACAACGGTAACAAAGAGACTCACTCTATGGCGAGAGAGAACAAACAGTTTTATCTGGGATTTTAAATAACACGAGTTTACCTGGTGAATCCAACTCAGTTTTACCTGGAACTCTCATAAGTGTGGTGCAAAAATGCTTTAACTTGATTAAGTTGAAATATTAGTAGGAATATTTCAGTCATGCGTATTGATATATGTTTAATAACAAGTAGTTTACTGAAATTTTACTTAACATTGTTTCATTACAAAATATAATTTTGAAGCAAGGAATTGTAGTCTGTAAGTGTAATGGGGAAGATGGACAGTACCACCTGCACGGGGAAATCTTATAATTCATGACATAACAAACATATAATTTGGAAATGGAAGAAACACTCTAGAGAAAGACAACAAAAGTGTTGGTAAAGGCTAATGGTCAAAGGTGAGCTTAGCATCACTTAACCTGAATTAGCTCAGCAGTGTAGGACTCGAACAGCATCGATCTTCATCCCATCCTATTGGAAACAGGCGCTGGCTACAAAGCAACCAGCAGTATGTTAGTGATGAGGATGAGTCTGGCATGCATGTTTCCATTGTATGACAGGGGCAAAAGAAGGCAACATGGCCACAGGTAGTTGGTAAAATGAAAATCCAGGAAATAAGCGGATCAAGAAATCCACAGATTTTCTGGAAACATGTTTTATGGGTGAGGATGGGTGTGAGTACATGTTAAGTCTGTAGGCATGTTGCTTGACCAGTACTTAATTCATAGTCATAACTGAGCATTACAACCCCCTTAACTTATTCAATCGACTGACTCTTCGACCAATTACAACTCAGTAAATATTTGCATTTGAATCTGGACTTTCAGTATTTAAGGTCAAGTTTCAACAACAGTCAGTCTCTCTTTCTCGACTAGCCAGTGGTTCTTCTGTCTTGCCCTATCCTAAAAAACTGATTAGTTACTTAGATGGACCCTTCAAGTTTTTCTAGCTATGAAGCTGCCAAATTCCTGCAGGATGCACACAATATTTTCTTGAGTAAGAGAGCCCACAATACCACTGAAAATAGAACTTCCAGACCTTCTCTGCCTTACATGGTGCTTGGGCCAATGAATGGTGACCAGTGCTACCTGATAGAATAACTTACAGTATCTGTGGTTGGGTTTTCACTGCAGTCTCCAGAGGTTGATTTACCACGTTTTACAGCAGAGGATCCCATCAACACTGAGGAGAGCAATTTCCTTTCACCCAAAGACCCAACAACAGCAATGTCAGCCATGAATCCACAGTAGTTTAGCATTCAAGCCACCCAGTAGCCTTAATTGTTACCACTCTTGACACTGCCAGTAATATGTTCCATTGTAGGATGTGCCACTAACACCAGAAAATGAAATCAGATGTTCTCTCACTTCCAAAGTGACCACTACATCTTGAAGCCAAAAAAGAAATTCACAGCACTATACTCAATCAAGTTCCAAGAAAATGGAGGCAGGGCAGACTCCAGGACAACTTTAAACCAGAAGACTGCAATGGTGGCTGTTCAGAAGAGCCAGCCAACTTGTGAACTAACTTCAGCCATCAATTAAAAAAACTTCTACTTCAAGGACAAGGGTATCAACTATTTATCACCCAAGTAGGACCTACACAGTCATCATGAGTGAGAAGCCACCTACAAAGAAACACCAGGACCCATCCCAGAGGATGACGAGGGTAGAACTCCCAGAATCAACAAAGATTATAATACATGATTCAAAACTTGGGCAGATTCTCGTGCTGAAAAAAGCACTGTAGGAAATTGCCAATGAATGAACAGAGGCATGGGCCCTATATAATAAGGAGAAAGATTTACTAGGATGGAGGGTAACCCGTTCAATATGGTACAAAGAAGAAGTATGGTGCCTATAGGTAAGACTTGTTGACAGTGGGAAAGCCCTCAGTAAAGCTCAGGATAATTCTGAAGAAAATGATAGAGGCCAACTGCAAGACAATGGTGAACCTAGAGAATCCGCTGGCAAGGTTGAGGTGAGTGGGAGTAATGTTTTGGAAGGTCTCTGGGGTAAGTGTACATTCTGTACAATTGAGCATGCGTGCAAAAGCAGAGACTTATAAGGTTTTGTTTTGTGTAAGTTTTTTTTTTTTTCATTTGGTGTACATACTGTAGATTTAATGCACTACTACTTGTTTATATACACGAATGTGCATGATCAAGAAGTGGATAGCTTTCATTGTATTATTTTCTACTGTTATCATTATTAAAGGATTTAATTTTTGTTTAAAGTTCAATGACTTTGTCATACTTTCTAGTGTTCATTTTTCGTTGTTTTGAGTAAAGGTTTCTTTTTTTGTTGGTGTTTTCCTGAAACTGTAATAGGTTTTGTTTGATATTCAATATTACTTAAAGGGTGTCATGTGTTTGTCTTGGTCAGACTGCCTCTTTTGCGAAGGTGCAGCTCTAAATCATTGTTAAAGTTGAAATTATAGAACGTTTCTTTGTTAAATCAGACTTTTTATTCTGTTTTATTTCCTTTTTATAAATTGATTTAGTTTAGTGAGGAGTTTTTGTTAGTCTATCCACTTTTAAAGTAGGCAGTGTGTATCTCTTAAATTTCTCTATTTTCTTTTTCTTCCATAGTTTTACTTTTTATGTATATAATTAGATACTTGTGCATTGGTTTTCCAATGTTAAAAGAGTATATCATGTTCTTTGATGATAAAGGGTTATTGAGTATATTTAATAGTCTATTCTTAATGAAGGTTTCTTTATGTATATTATACATATTATTTAATCATTTCAACATTTCATCTCTAGATATGTATTTCATCTAAGCCTGTTAGAGGCTAGTTTTCTTGTGTTGTGCGTGTTTATTAAAAGAACAGTTTTGTTTTGTCAAAAGTGTTCTTTCTATTCGTGTTTAGCCAATGATATTTTAATTTTTGAAATTATCTTGTTAATAAATGTTTTTCTTTAGTATTTAAAATAAAACGTAGTTTCACGATTAACAATAAATATATGCCTTTACATTTAATTGGCAAAATAAGTATCAAAATTATAAGAACAAGAAACAACTTACATCAGACATCCAAAAAACATTTCTAAAATTTATTTTAAGTGTACACATATAAGCACAACCTTAGTGGCTCTTAGAGTGCAAACTGATAAGTCTAATTTATCCTTTCCTGTGGTACCCCGGTGGAACAGCGGCAAGTCTTCGGATTTACAATGCTAAAATCAGGGATTCGATTCCCCTCGGTGGACACAATAGATAGCCCGATGTGGCTTTGCTCTAACTAAACATGCACACCTTTTCTGTAGAAGAAAAATAGAGAAAACCACACACTGCACTTGCCCATAGATAAACAATTTCTAGCTAATGTGAATCTTTAATGGTTTAAGGAATTGTATCATTTTATTTCTTTATAGAGGTGAATAATAACCAGAATGTTTTTTTTTTTATAATTTTCAGCTCACAATATTATCTTTCCGCCCTGATAGACGTAGTTCCTACAAAAACGACATTACAACAATCTAACGTGTTTATGTTGTCTGAAATTGGTTCGAAGAACATGACAATAACTTTAGTTGTATCCCTTGGCAACAGAGGATACCGGATTTCAATCAAGTATTGTATCTTTAGGAGGAGCTTAAATGTTACCATCGCCTTTATAATCCTCTGTTGATATCGTGCACCAATTTCAGACCGCACTCCTTGATAAATGGATTATAATCAAATAATACACCATATAGCATCTTGTGAAGTCTTATACTACGCAAAGTTTAAACTGTCATTTCAACAATATATGTCCCAATTCAATTTTAAATGGGGGTACTTATGAAGTGATCATTCAGTATGTGTGTGACAAGGTTGCGCACTAAGTTACAATGATATGCTTTTTCTTTTTTTTTTTGTAGTAAAACCATTTTTCAACAAATCAGTTCATATTTATGCTTTTACGTACCAATTTTTGAAAGCATGGAATAAATACTGTTACATTACCTGTTAAACTAAAATATTTTTAATTAAAGTAATGATTTTTCATATAGGTGCCAATTCACTATTGAGAGACCCCAGTAGGAAATTTTGTTCATTGGACTGGGCTCGATTTTGTGGCCGACAAAACTGCGTCGAGATTTTGGAAAAGTTCATGAAAACAACCGCTGGAAAGGCTTGTTTGGCCAACCAGCAAAAAATAAGTGGTAGCAAGGATAAGTGGTCCAGCGACCCAGACCTACAGTCTCCACTCTACAGCAACGCCTCACTTCCTGACATGCACACTGGAAAAACAACGTCAAAACATGTGGGTGGTGAAAACGGATGGTTTAAACAAAAACTTCGTAAGACTTTCAAATATTCTGATAATAAAAACCGTCGAAGCGCTGATTTTAGTATATTTAACAATATTACAGCAGCAACAATGTTGTGTGCTTCCTCGGCCATTCTACAAAATGTGGAATCAGATTCAAATTCCAGTAATATTGATGGCAGTCAACGCTCAAATGAGAAGAAAATTATCATACCCAAGGTTGAACTGCCCTCAGATGGATGCTCAGTATCTCCTATGGAAATCACAGTTCAGAACCCACCTGTAACAGCCAATACTGAAAGTGGACATTGTGCTCCTAAACCACCCAGACCACCACCGCCACCACCGGCTAGGAAAAGAGATAGTAAGCTTTGAAATGTTAAATGTGATCAAAGTTTAATATTTATGATTTATAATGTTTGTATTTGAAACTTTACGCTTGTTGTAATATACAGGATGTTGAAAAGGACTGCCCTTTAGAAGAAAACGTTTCACAATACTAAAAGACCTAATAACTTTGTCCTTCTGCGCTAATTTTATATGAGGTATTTCTAAAGAGTCCCTAATGCACTTTTCATTCCTTCTCCACAAGTGACTTTTGAAATGCAGCCAACGGCTGCTAGTTTTTATTTTGGGACGAAGCTGGTCTTCTTTAATCATTTGTGTTGGGCACTTAGTCAAGATAAAAAAAAGACTCTTACTAGAACTGTGTATTAGAACTGTTAGACAAAATTGAAATTCCAGTATAGTTGTACAAACTACACAGCCTTTTTCAGAATTCACAAAAATAAATCAGGTTGCTGGTAAAACAAAATACAAGTTTTTGTCTTACAAGCCAACTCTGTTTAAGACAATTATCTTGAATAAAAAGACGAGAATACAAATGAAATTCTTATACAGTCTAAACATTTTGATTGTACATTTTTTTGTCGCTTGTCTAAAGTTTTCTTCTAAAAAGCTGCATTTTCAAACATCCTTTTATAGATATATTTCTTCTTAAATATTGCGTGCTCAACCAGCCTCATTTACTGTTGTAAGGCGTAACTACTACTTCTGATTGTATTCAAATACTTACGCCGATACATTAAAGTGTATAACAAGTAGAAAGGAATTGTAACAGCACTAAAGATCATTACTATGGAATACTTTAATAGAGTAATGATATTATGAGTTTTGGAATGAAAAACACTTCGATGTTATAAATTAAGATGTAGGACGTACATTACTTATTATTTTCATATCAATGGTTGAAAGAGGTGCGTTTAGAGTTTTAACAATTAAGGATATTTTTATATAATACCTAAACGTTATTACTGTACTGAATACTTAATTAAATAACTTTCCAAGTCCCTAAAAAGTAATTGCTTTTTCAGTATTAGGTCAAAGAGCATAAAACGCTTTGTTGATCTGGTGAAACGACGACGAAATTTGTATTGACTGTTTACAGTTTTACAGACTAAGTATATGTAAACCATTTTTTTCCATTTAAGTTACGGTATTGATTTTATTATACGTGATAGTTATAATTTTCATCTGTGCCAGTATAATGGTCTGATACACTTCACGATTTCACAATAACGAAATACATATTCTAATTCTGCGTAACAGTTTCGTTGAATAGTAAGTTACCAGACTTTTTACACTCACATTCGTGTAATGTGATATATTTGTCTTTCTTTTTACCCTTAAGCATTAAATTAAAAAAGAAATTCGGGAAACATTACTATAGTACGATTTTACAGTAAAGTTCGAAATTTCAATAGCACCTTTTGCAGGCAACACCAGTGGTGGTAATAAAGACGAGGGTAAAAAAAGACAAAGAAAAAGGGGCAATGGAAAAAAAAGTCAGTCGGAAAAAAGACAGAGAATATTACACAAACAGGTAAAAAGTACAAAAAAAAGTCCTATATTTTAGGAATGGTATAAAATGAAGAATTCCGAAATAAGCAATTTACTTTTTATTATCACATACATGCGTAAAGCCTGTAAAAGACAAAGAAAATTAACAAATAGGTAAAAAAACTCTATATTTTAGGAATGGCATAAAATAAATTCCGAAATAAGCAAAAAAGTTATAATAATAAGTAAAAAAAAAAAAAAGAGAGAGTCCAAAATACAGTTTTCCAAAATACTTTTTGATTTTTTTTACCTTTGTCTTTATTACCTAGACTTCCTTCACACGGGGCAATTAAACAGAAAAAAAATCAAGCCCTACGTGTCCAGAAATATACAACACCCATCTGTGTAAGCTCCAAATATTGCTTAAGACGATTTTTGTTGTGAATAAATTAAAGTGATGACATTATGGAAAGTTATGAGTAGTAATTCTGTTTGCACAAAAATCAGTAAAATAAATACAACTACAAACTATTTAATACTGTCTATAACAGTATCTTTAATTAACTTCGTTTGTTTTGAATATCGCGCAAAGCTACACGAGGGTTATATGCGCTTGCCATCCCTAATTTAGCAGAGATAGAGGGAAGGCACCTAGTCAACCACCACCACCAACTCTGACCGTCACATTACAATGCCCCACAGCTGAAAGGGCGAGTATGTTAGGTAACCTGTGATTCGAACCCGCGACCCTCAGATTGCGAGTTGAGCGCTTTAACCACCAAGCCATGCCTATCTTTGATTAAACCATAACGTGTGTCAATATTTTCTGGAAGCTGTAATATAAACGATAGTTACAATTACGTTCAAAATAATATTGAAATGCCCCAAGAGTTTTGTTTATAAAGAGCAAAACAAGTGAAAACTTATATCAGTGGTTAATGAAATTTTAGGTTCCTTTTGGATATTGGATACGTACATCTAAACAATGATAATAGTTAAACAACACAACTCGTGGACAGGAAGGGATTAATGCAAAATCAAGCTTGTATCTTAATAAAAAAATGTTTGCCAAACTTTTTAGCTTCTAGTCTCTTTTCGGGAGCTTGAGTCATATAGAATCAGGTACACAAGTATAACTATTATAGCACACTATCCGACGAAAATATGTAAGGGTTATTAAATTCCTAAAAAAATTACATCATACGATTTTATAAAAATAAGGTCTTAAGATCAGCAATAAAAAAGGCAGCAATAATTGTTTTCTTATTCGCACAGAAAAAACGGTGATATACAATTTAAAATTCTTATATATAAAATTTATATCACTCACTTCCAACAATGTTTCCGACATTCCAATTTATAATAAAACGCACTGGTTATTGTCGAGCATGAAAAAAGTAGGCTATTCTACATATAACGTATCTGATCTTATGAGTACGCCAACATGGTGTTTGTTAATTGTTTGTTTGTAATTAAGCACAAAGCTACACAATGGGCTATCTGTGCTCTGCCCACCACGGGTATCGTAACCCGGATTCTAGCGTTGTAAGTCCGCAGACATACCGCTGTGCCACTGGGGGGCGTGTTTGTTAATGGAGATGTATAAACGTTTCGCTTTGTGCCGAAAAGAAACAGTTAGAGATTGTGAACTGTATTCTATCACTATACGTGATTTTTCTGGAGTTCATAAATCATGAAATATTTAGAACAAAAATTAATTAAAAATTGTTGCTCTCTATCGTATTCTACGGATTTTAAATGTGTAAAATGAGTTGGTGGCCAGGGCTTCTTACGCGCCTCCCTAGAAATGCAACAAAAAAAGTAACCCAGTTAGGCAATCACTACATCAAGAATTGCGAGTTCATTTAAAGGGGCTAAAGGTCGGAAGAATATCGTAAATGAATACACACGATATTATAGGAATTTCAAGGCCAATGTAAGTTCTGTGTGGGTTTACAAATTTTTTTTATATATTCCTTTAATAGAATTGGATAGGTACAATTCAACAGTATCAGAATAAATTAATATAATTTTAGATTGCATAATATTTTTGTTGCTTTCCAGATGTCTAAATAAGTAATTATTACTGACAACAGATGGTGTTGGGGTAGATAGGTTATAAGTGATGCTCTAATAACCATGACAGTTCTGTCGCAATTTTGTGCACGAAACAATTTGTCTAAAAAGGAAGACAAAGTTCGTGGCCCTTAAAAAGTCTAGAATGTAAGTATTGCTAGGCGTCACTGTCCTGTAATTTCGATTGGATAAGGAGAGTAGTATTTAAAACCTCTGATCACAACCCCGTTTGTTGCGTAGCCACACTTTTAGTTTTGGTGTGAATCTATAACATAGAAGTTACGTTTCTTGTTCATACTAATCTTTGTGTAATACAACTACAACAACAAAAAAATTTACTTTCATAAAGCTGAAGTTCTTTTCATACCTTAAGCTCATAAAATATTAAATTCTGAGGAGCTGAAGGCAAGTAGCTAACATGATCAAAAAAGTTTTCCTGGAGATATAGGTCGTGTTTCTGTTTTAATGAGTTCAATACTTCCATCAGCACTTAAGAAATATTAAAAAAAAACTTAGTACCGCTGCATTAGAAAGAAATTGTTGAGATTTCAAAACTTAAAAACTGTATAATTGTTTTGATTAGCGATTTTAGATTGTATTTTTTAAATGACATTTTAAACAATCGAATACATTATTTATTGAAGTTTTATTCATTAATTACTTAAAAAAAGCAAAACGGGTAAACTTCTCGTTTAAATAGGCAATCCTTCATTTTGGAACATCGTTTTTTTTTCTTCTTCTAACGAATTTGTAGGATTACTCTTTAAATAATTGAACTGGGCTAGAATGTACATTTTATTAGCATATAATAACATACAAAAGCTTGAAGATTTTCGTGAGCAAGTTATATATATGTAAACTGTACTCGAAAAACGTTTTTCAAGTTACAACATGAAGTTTAATAAATGGCATATTTTTAATGTACAACAGACAAAGAATTTGTCAAATTGGTTTCTACTAAAACTAATTTCGATTTACACGAATTGTGTAAAGCATAAATTTAATAACAACTCTTTATATCCACATGACGCCTGCGTCCGAATTAATTGATTTACCAGCAGGTGATAAATTACACGTAAAGATGTGATTCAGTCAATCAGTTACAAGAAAAATAGACCGGTACAGAATTAACAACCAAAAACTTGACAGGTTTGAATAATTTGGTTTTGAATTTCGCGCAAAGCTACACGAGGGCTATCTGCGCTAGCCGTCCCTAAATTCGCAGTGAAAGATTAAAGAGAAGGCAGATAGTCATCACCACCCACCGCCAACTCTTGTGCTACTCTCTTACCAACGAATAGTGGGATTGACCGTACATTATAACACCCCCACGACTGAAAGGCGAGTCAAACGCCCTGACCACTCGGCGATGCCGGGCAAGGTGTGAATAGAAGCAAGCTTTCTTGATGCTAATGTACCTTACGTTATGACGCTGTTTCATTTTCTACAAGTGAAATAATAGTTTAAAATATATTTAACATACAAGAAAGAACAAATTTAAAAGTTTGTTTAAAAAGCTAACAGGAAAATATACAGATCCTTCACAAAGCATTATACGTGAATAAATACTTGAGTTATAAGAACCTTTAAACCAAACAGCTAAATCTGGCAAAACAAAGCTGCCAAATAATAATAATAATAATTATATATACACACAAACGCACTGCCCAGGGCGAAATTATTTAATTTGTTTTTAAAATCGACTAAAAGTAACCATGTCTCTTATTGTTTTAGTTCTGGTAATTGTTCACAAGAGCGACAACGAGTTTAGAAAATGGTTCAGTCATTTAGCACACAAAACGCTGTCTTGAACATTATCTAAGTTCATAAACGAAATTGATTTATTTTTTTTAGCACATTTCATCCGAACTATAATCAAAATTTTCTCTCTAAACCTGTTTCTTAAATCTAGACTGCTAAACCCTCGTAACGTGAAAAATTAAAGAAAAACCCAAAAGACCACCAATTAATTGCTTTTCAACAACTTTTGCTCTGATCAAAGATATATTTATAAATCAAGGCAGCAGATTATTACAGCCAGCAGTGTGACGTCAGTATACTCTTTTACATTTTTTCAGTACAGGGTTCCTCCTCCCCAAACACACGTGGTATATTATTTTTAGAATTTCACAAAGAAAATCATTTTCCATTTTCTTCTTCTTGAGTTGGAAGTACAAGGATGTAGATAGATTTCCTGGTTGTTGTTTTTACATTTTTTTTTGTTGTTGTTGTTGTTATCAGTGGTGTGGAAACGCATTTCAAAACATTAACTTATGAATTTAACGTAGTACAAAAATATGAAATGTATTACATCAAGTCACAACTCTACACAAGCAACGTAAAACGTTTGTATCCAAGGTTAACGCACATTTCAGCATTGAAACATCCTGTACCAAAATGCTTAATGACGCATATAAATTTCAAACCAACTGGCCACCGTTTCTTATATTCAAGATCAATAAAACTTAGGTTGCACATCACCTGCAGGTATACAGTTCAACCAATTAGTTAACCGTCACCCGTAATAAATTATACTGTACGACACAAACCATAAAAAGAACAAAGCAAACTTCACGTACAAAATCACGACTTTCTTTTCGCCCGTGAGGTTTACTGACAAACTCTACAAGCCAATATTCACAATAAAATAGAAATCATACTAACAAGTATTTACATACTGACATGTACGTACGAAAACTTTTATTTCCATAACTTTGAATATTAGATGAAATTAAAGGAAGATTAAAATGTAAACGAATCATGATAACAAAAAGATGTCCGTATATATATAACAATTTCAACTATTAAAAATACTATATTGTCTTAACTTGTTCAATTTAACAACTGCTCAGAACTTTTTTTCTTAACTAATCAAAGTAGTAAAATAAAATTCATATCTTTAGTTGTAGATTACAACACTGCTATTAATAAAGTCATTAAACCATATCAAATCATCATAATACAAGCATTCATAAAGTTCCAATTTTTTCAATCGGTGACATTTTAATACTGTTTCACAAAGCAAATTATATTTTGTGTGTGTGTGTGTATATATATATATATATATAGTGAAAAAACAAAAACACGAAACCTTTAAGACAAAAATTGTTCATAAGTTATATGAAGTTCCATGAAATTGACCTCTGGAGATCTGAAGCTGTGCTAGCAGATATTTCAACACAATTCACCACAAAGATACCACCATAAATACTTAAAGCTTCCACATACCAAGATATATTAAAAAAAACAACCTCTTAGGCAATACTGAAGATAATTGTACAACAGGAATAATTACAGTAAACTACTGTAAACCTAACCTCACCCAATCATATAAAAGCTCGAAATATAGAACTCTGGTTTTATAGATAGGTACAAAAATCAATGCATTCCCATCACTTTGATATGTATTTTGGCACAGAGGATAGTCTCCTCTCGGCACAACACAGAGGATAGTCTCCTCTCGGCACAACACAGAGGATAGTCTCCTCTCGGCACAACACAGAGGATAGTCTCCTCTCGGCACAACACAGAGGATAGTCTCCTCTCGGCACAACTTTGTAGGAATGGAAAGTCTGCCTCACTATCTGCCCTTCAACATCATTTTGAAAATGTCTCATCTTTTCAAGTTAAAATCAACAATTTATCCAGCACAACATGTAATAACAGCTGTTAGATCTAAGTTCACAGACTTTGGCATAACCAACTGGTTCACATATACAACTCTCCAGAAAATAAAAACAGTAACTTTATAATAAACTACTTTGATAAATGCACTATCCACTGAAACCTGCCTTAAATCCTAAATTTCTATGAACAAATTTGATAAAGCTCCACCAGAAATTAATGTAAAATGGTTAAGAAGGACCTTGTCCTAAGATCTCTTTTCTTTGCTTAGAAAAAACAAAAAACAACGAGATTAAGTTATGAAAAAAACCCCAAGCCTTTTTTTTTTCCAAAAAAAAGGGAGGTTTTTATATTTACTTCCTGGTTTATTATTAAACTGGTGTTTAAATCAACTCCTCTGATAAGTACATACATCACTAGGAGACAGATATATCTTATATTTCCAAATTTAAATCAACTGACCACAAACTCTGAAAGAAATCATATATTGTTTAAAAATTAATTTTCAAAAGCCTCCTAAATATATTAACTTCATAAGCTAATGACAGACAAGATCAACTATGATTTAATCGTTTCATTACTAATAAACCACTCTTTGAAACAAAATTTTAATTCAAGGAAGCTGATTTACAGTGAAAACGTTAAAGCAGTAGAATACTTAATGAATTTGAGACATATATATTTATATGTTCAAAGGCCAGAACATTCATTTTTGTAAGCATACCTTCCAAAAAAAAAGTTTAGTAAACAATAAGAGGCAAAGCTTCTTATTCATCATTTTTAGCCCTAAAAATACAGAAAAGGTCATATGTTAACATCTTTTCTTTTGTCACTAATTATCTACATATATATATATAGAGCTATGGTTTCAAATGCTTCAGTGCAATAGCATCATGTGTTTGTTACCTGTGTCCATTTCCTTGGATACTTTAACATGCATCAATAACCAGCATTAATATATATCAAATGTACTAACTGAGCAAAAAAAAGTGAATTTCTTGTATAATTTCAAATTCACCATTGCTCCATGAATATCAACAATAGATTTTTACTCAAGGAAAGGAAAAAAAAATTACCATTCAAAAAAAAAACTAACTCTAAATTCTATAAGTGAAATTTTTTATTCTGAATTATTTTTAATTGATATGAAAACAGTAATCTTTAAAAGCTATGTATCTGATTAATGGATTAAGTGCAGAATGTATCAAAAAAATGTACACTTTTTTTTTTAAATACAGCCTAATATTATACTGAGCTGGTTAATTCTTAAAAAAATTTACTATGATACACATAAAAGAGGCACAAAATTTGCTACGTGTACTTTCAACGATGTACTTTACAGGGTTGACACTGATATTGGAGAAATGAATGTTTGAACTAAAAGAAAAAGTAACGGCAGTGACAGAACTTTTCATATTGTCATTACATGTGTAAAAGGTACTTCCGTTTTCCCTTTCGAAGCAATATGGGAGGAATAATAGTAATTCTTGTACATTACTGGAGTCTTGTGGTACTCATTCAAGTAAAATACAATCAAAGCACAATCTCAGTAAGTTTGAATTTCTTGTTAATCCACCCTCACATGACTACTGTATGACTGGAAGGATAAAGATGGGGAAATTGACTTTTTTTGTTTTGTATTATCTTAATTTTTCATTACAGGCTGCAACCAACTGATAATGCAAAGTATTTACAAGAAAGCAAAGGCGCTCTTGGTTTTAATGTGGAACATCCTCCTCCTCCAACTGTGGAAAATCCTCACTGACTGAATTATCTGACATTAGCCCTTGCTCTAACCGTCTCTCCCAAAATGAGGCTCTCTGCAGAATCGAGCGAGCTGGACGACGACGTGTTCGGTGTCGAGGTAGCGAGTTATTACTTGTAGTGCTTTCATCTGAAGTATACCCGTGGGTCGGGTCAACAGAGCTTTCAATTACTGGCACTGGGCTTGGAGGCATACTAGGGCTACTTCCTCTACTATCCTGTTGGGCATCTTCTTTTGAATGATTTTCATTTTGAGAAACAGACAAAGGACGATTCAGGGAGCGTGGAAAATGTTTGAAAGTTTTCTCTCTAAATTCCTTGGACATAGAGCGGGCAGTCAAACTATGAACCTAAAACATAAAAAAGGTGAAAGAATCTGTCTTTATTACCAATATGACATTTCAAACATGAACAAAATATATGCCTCATGTGACTAACAACTTAAAAAACAAATAAGACTAAAATCTCAACTACAAGTACTATTTAACCTAGCACCTGGCCCAATAATCTAAATAAGCAAATCAATGTTATTAATATGGAACAAATATACAATTAGACAAGTAACAATTCTAGTAATTTACATTCAGCTAACCTGAATTTAACAGCCACCAGCCTCAACGAAATCTTTAATTACTGCTCATCCTCAATTTTACTAGTTTTATCACAAAGCTATCAGTTGTAATAGTGATATTACATTTTATGCTGAATTATTGGGTTTTCTGGGATTATTTTCTTTTATAGAAGTAAGTAGTCACCTAGTGGTTTCCATATTTCTCCACACAGCAAGATGTAATACCATTATTAAAATGACAACTGGATGGCAAAGGAACTGAGGGCTCAAGAGGAACTTATTTCTAAACAAAGCTGATTTTAAATCAGCAAAATTCAGTGCTTCTGATTTTTCTCAAACTTCTATTTTAATAAACTAATATTTGATGTGTTCACTCAAAAGTCCCATTACAAATAAGTTATTCTCTCAAAAAGTATAAGTGATTTTTTGTGAATTTTCATCACTTATGCATTACAACTTAATATTCATGACTTTTACACATTTAATACATCATAGATCACAAAAAATGCAGACTATTATCTCAAAGATACAAATTGTTTTTCATTTGAGGTAGTGATTTTTTTATAGGTTAATTCTAAAACATTTCATCAACATAATTTCAGACAAACATTCAATGCAGGAAAAAATCTTAAAAGGTATGAAGTTTTTCTTCTAGTAAGATGGATAACATTAAAATATACCTTAATTTATTTAACATTATATTAACTAAAACACACACGGTATCACACAGAAACAAAAACAAAATAATGCAACTTAAAAGTTTCAACAGTAACTCAAAAACAAATTGTTTTAAAAACTAAAATGATGCAGTTAAGAAGCAACTATTTATACAAACAATTTTTGAACAGGACATAATTTACAAAACAACAAAAACATGCAAAACCAGGAGACAAAGAAAATGAACAGAGCCACAAAACATTGCAACACATGCTTATACAATGGCTGTCCGATGGAAAACAAAGATTTAACAGTCAACTCAATGTGCAGATCATCTACCCTTTTAATGCTTGCCCCACAATCGGGCACCATTAGACAGTCCTTTAGGGGAAGCAGTGGGCTTGGAGCAGAGGCAGCAGAAGATGACTGCTCCTCTTGTAACACTCTGCTGTGACTCTGTTTAACCTTTTCTTTATCTTCTTTCACTTTCAGGATATTTTTCTTGACAGAAACATCTTCCTCTAATACCTTGAAGTTGGACTTAGTGGTTGCTAGTGATGTGTTTTTCCTGGGAGTCGGAGATAGTTCCTTCTCTTCTTGTTTTTCTACCACCACAACTGGTTTCTCTTGCATCAGAGCCTATGGAAAAGGAAGGGAAGCCTCATATGGTATCTAAATATATTAATTTCATCATTAACAAATACTTGGATATTTAAGCCTACAAATATAAAATTAAACATACATTGAACACAAGAACATTTATCATTAATTCATAAACTAGTATACACAAAAGAGTCACATTTCTGGCCATAAAGAAACAGTCATTTCTAAAAAAATTACCTGTTTTGTTGTTATGTCTTTTGAGCAAGCAAACAAAATAAAATAAAACACTGAAAGGAGCCATACAACTTGAACAACTAATCAAAATTTCATTTCACATCTGTAACTGAAAGTGCCTCAACTCTTTACCATTAGTTGGTATACAAAATCAGTATCCAAATATGCATAGCTTTCATTTTTGTTATAACATATAAAACAGAACTTTGTACTACTTTTGCACTATCTTAAATCTGTACCGTATATTTCTTACTTTAGTTTGTCTAGGTAAGAAGAAGAAAAAAAAAGATATTTTGTATATTTGTTTATATGTATTTTAAACAATTCACCACAGATCAGGTATCAGCAACTAACTTTTGATATCCCAGTATTCCTAGGTGATGGCTTGGGTTTAGTTGTAGCAGATACTGCTAGGAACCTACTAGCTAAATCTTTCACAGATGGTAAAGACATTTCTTCATCATCACTCTGTCCTCTATGAAGACCATCTTCAGACTGGGATTCACTGAGAGGGCTTTGAAAATGGTCAGAAGTAGTGCCAGATGAAGGTGTTCTCACATTACCACTGTTTCTCCTCGGCCCACTTTGCTGGAGAGCATTTTGTGTCTGAACAACATTTTTTTCTATCTGGGAAACCTACCCAAAATGTATAAGATGACTTAACTAAACACTTGATACACACAAAAAACAAATTCCAACGAAAAATTAAGATGTATCACTCCAAAATCCCTTACAAGTTTAAAGAAACAAACTTTGTTTGAAACTCTTCAAACACTAAATGGTTGCCTTTCATTCAAAAATGCCAAACATAAGCTTTTGACCTAAATAATCAAAATAAAATGCACATGAACATTTCTATCATAAGACTGAATGTTTAGCTTATGGGTTTCAGTTCATTATAATGTTTTGTTCAGTTAATATCAAATTAGAAAAACAAAAAGAATCAAATCACTTCAGCAGTTTACACTTTCTAAGATGGCAAGTTATTTCTATTGGTTGTTACCTCATACTCCTATAAATCTAATTCTGAAAATCTTTTAAATACAGGTGATACGATGGAGATAATATCATGTAATGTCAGAACCTCTGAACCAATCATCAAAAGTCATGTGATATTTAAATGTCTATATGACAATTAAGTGCAACTCCTTTTGCCTCCTAAAAGTCATCAATGTAGGGGGGATGTGGATGCGACTGATACAGTAGAACCTCATTTAACAGGCAACTCAAAATAACGGGCACCACGCCATTAAGGGCAGACCTTTTCAGTTTCCTCGATAAAGTGGGCAGTTAACCCTTTTGCTGCTAGCAGGTTAGTGCGTTCATGTCATGACCTTTTTGAGTTATTTTCAAAATTTTATTAAATAACTTTACTATTACTCATAACACTGTAAGTGTTTTTGTTTTGTCTTTGTTTTTCAGAGTATTTTAGCAGCAGATTTTGACGTCACTGAATTCAAAACATGCAGCAGTTCTTTTGGGAGAGAAATCAAATGTCAACCTGGACACCGACACCATCGACAAATGGCAACATTGTCTTCCATCTTTGATCAGTGGTTACCAGGAAAAGACATTTTCAACGTGGATGAAACTGGCTTGTTTTATTGCACATTGCCAGAGCAATCACCCGTTTCATGTAGCAACCAGTGGGCCGGAGGCAAAAAAAGTAAGATCGCATCACAGTTACACTGAGTGATAATGCAGTGGGAGAGTGTGAAAAGCTACTGGTCATCACGAAAATCCCCCTTGCTTTTGTAACATACAGAAAACTGCCCTCCCCATAACCTACAGATGGAATAAAAAGGCATGGATGCCAGCAGTCTCTACGAATAATAGCTTTAGACCTTCGACCAAAAGATGTATTTGCAAAGCCAGAACATTCTCCTGTTTGTTGATGATGCTCCATGTCATGGCAACATGCAACTCACAAACATTCATGTCCTGTTTTTCCTTTCTAATTCCACCATAATCCTGCAACTCCTCGACCAGGGTGTCATTAAAACCATGAAGTCCCTCTACAGGTTTCTTCCAGCTGTCCAACCAAAACTGAAAACTGCAACAGATGCCAATATGTAGCAAAATGGCTTTAAATGCATACACCAAACAAAATGGAGGGCCTTAAAATTCAGAAATTTAGTACAGTAAATATGGAATCCATCTTTGTGTGGCTCATTTTTGATATTAAGGGCACCTTGCTATAGAGGGCATTTGGATGCAGTTGGAAGGGTGCCTTTAATGTCGAGGTTCTACTGCATATAACAAGTAAATATCAACTGAGATTAAATGCATTTTATAAAACTGATGTGCCAAATCCTTCTGCCCTAGAAACTACTTTCTCTATCACTGTTTGTGCTCTGTCTAATGGCCATGAATATGCAAAACTAAGTGATGCCACACTTTTATTGTAACAAGCTTCTGAGAACAAATTTAAGTTTATTATTTAATTTCTGTCGTGCATATTGGTGTATAAAAGGCATATTAATACTAGAAACAAATGACCTTATAATACCCAAATGCTGTTTTTATTTAATTAGACATTTAACATTTCACTTTACAGCTTCTTCTGGAGCGTTCACTAAAACACAAACCAAAACTGACAGTCCAAAGCTTCAAATGGTTTAAATAATAAAATCAAAACAACATTTTGATGTTACAAGGTCATTTATTTCTAGTATTAATAAAGTCAAGTTTAGTCTATACAGATTTCTGTAGGTAGCACTGAAAAGGTCCATTGCATCAGGAGACTTGACAGGAATATGGAAAATGTGCCCCCCCCTTTTTTTAATAGGTGTTTATGTGTGTGTGGTGGGTGGGTGACAGTGTGGGGGACTGTCAAGATGCATGGTCATGAGATAGAGTTGGTTGTTTGATTGGTGTTTTATGCCACAAAGCAGCAAGGCTATCTGCGCCAAACAACCGGTAAAAACAAAGAAAGTAAATTAATGTAAAATGTAAAAATACAGCGAGTTAAAACCAATACATGTCGATAAAAGATTTATACAGAATTAAAAATACCTACAGTGTGTAAAAAATTAAAAATACAATCTAATCGAACAGTGTCACCATTACCAATGACACTGTCCAGTGTCAGGGGTAAACTTTTAGATAAAATGTGTCTAA